GTTGGAAGGAATTATATAGTAAGTTGAACTAACCAAAGCAGCCTACTAACGTTACAAAACCACAAACTAATGGCATGACTAAGACAAAAAGTCCAACGGTACTCAAACCCGATTAAACCCAGATTTAAACTGGAAAAATTATTCTTTTGAAAACCACTTTCAAAACTTACTCAAACCAACACGGTACTCAAACCCGATTAAACCCAGATTTAAACTGGAAAAATTATTCTTTTGAAAACCACTTTCAAAACTTACTCAAACTAACACAAAAAAGGCAAAAGACAAGCCCAAAACAAATGATTCTTCTTTTGAGAAAAAGAAACAACCAAAATAGAGAAAAACACGTAAAAAAAAAAAACACGTAATGAAATTGTAACAAAAGGTTGAACGTATAAAGAGACTCTGCACTAAGAGACGATAAAATATAACCCACTCCTGGCCTCACCAACCAGAGGGACGTCCTGAGCATGCTGTTTAGCCGGCCTAACCCACCGCGCTACAACCACGCTTTGTGAAACCCATTCTATTTTTGCTGAGAGTTGCTCTAGTGTGAGCGACTCTTTAAACATAACCAAACTAAAATGAAAACGCTTTTGCTATAACAATTAATAATAATTCATGATAAAACTTAACTAAGAAGAAGTAATTATGTATATTCAGGGTGTAAAGATTTCTTAGAGCCAAAGGAACGAGCAGCAAAGGAGAAGACAACCCGACTACATTCCAACTCTGGAATGGCAAATCTAGTTGGTTTGCTGCCAAAGTCACAACCCTCAAAGGAGTTTAAATATGTACTCAACATTGCAGCAAAGGAAACCTATTGAACCAGACCAAGGGCCATCTCGATGTTGTCACACATACCGATCCTAGTCTTTTGGCACTTCACACGGAAAAGTCAAACTTCACCCTGCACGTAGTCTCGCTCTCAACTTGATGAAATCGATACATCATAGCATCGGTCAGAAGTCTTGACACAATCACCCAAGACTACCCACGATCAACGAGACCCATCTTGAAACACGAAAGACACTGTCTTCTTCCATCTACACAAACAACTACATCTCTCCTCTCTCCAAGAAGTCACTGCTCACAACTTCTAAAGAAAACTACATCAACCGTCCTTCACTACAATAAACAATTAAAAACTAAAAACTCTCTAAGACCCGGATAGGTGGAACCAGTTCTGATCTGGTAATCATAAACCAATTATATTATTGATAAATTACCACTATAAAATATAACAAACTAACCAATCATATTCCATCTCTATTATTGACACTTATTTGTAAGCGCTGGAACTACTTGTAGTTTCAGCGCCAGAACAGTTTGAATAAATCTTTGAATACAGTTGTTCTCCTTCTGGATAAACTTCAAGAACTAACTCGCAAAAATCAGTATACACTAGATGTATTGAGACTAGGAGATATAAGAGTAAGATGAAGATTGGTATTAGACTAAGAAGTTGCACGAATCTATCCGGCCGAAATAAGATAGCGTGACGAACAGACGGTGTAACTTATCTGAAATTACTCTATGAGAAAGCTGCCTCTGGACTTTTAGATAAAGTACACCGTCTGTTCGTCACGCTATCTAAAATTACTCTATGAGTACAGGTCAAAGGTCATAACTCAACTAGCAACCTAGCTATAAATGCTAATAAATTGTCATCGCGATGCAACAAAAAGGGCACCAAACTAAAATAGACACAAATGAGGAAGTAACAAACTAAAAACTTTCAGCCATATAGTGTGTAAGTTATGCGTAACAAAGAATTTGCGAGAGACATTGAGTTAGAAAGTTTCTGAAGTCGAGTTTTTATGATTGTAATGTTGTTTGAAACAAATTTTTTTTGTTTCCTTTGATGAATGAAAAACAAATCAAGTAAATTAAATTGTTACTAAACTAATGTCAAGGCACATTCTAACACACTGCAAACGCAGCCAGCTTCAAAAATGCCAAAAAATTAGCATTTAGATTTGCGAATTAGGTTGGAAAAAAAGTTTCTTTGCAGGGCATAGTTATTAAAATGGGAAAATACTAGGCAAAACTGCATGGAGACAATATTGAGCGGAAGTGTGGTATATAAGCTAGCCGAACTGTTGACCAGTTATGATATTAACTGACCAAAATTAGCGGGCCATTACATATTCGATATGTAGTAATTATTTAATTGTTACAGCAATCATGGAAACACCAATTCAAACGACGGAACTTTGGCTGGCTTACATACTCTGTGACGCGACTTACGCGTCCAATTTCATCGACATGAAGCACGCTATTATTCATCATGACCTATTATTTAACAAAGATGCATAGAATGAAAATAAAGGAAAATTTCTAATAAAAATGCGAGTTAACACCGGGGCGAAGGTGTGCTTCGCAAACACAAGCGAAAGAAATACAAAAAAGAGCTCTAAACAGGCAAAACAAAGTGAAATAAAGAAAGGATTAAAAATACACTTTGAGAAAAACAACATGTGAGATTAGGAGTATCAAGGGTTCGCATCTGCTCCAAGACAGCTTGCACTTTTTCTAAAACTCGCTGCTTAGCATTAGCAAATTGATAGAAACTGTAGCTGCTTTATTGGTGGCTAATTAAAATAAAACTTTTTCAATGTTCCGGATTTGAATCTGTGACCTGTCGGTTAGAAGGCTTGCGTCCTCACACCTGCGCAACGGTCGCTTTGAAGCCAATGCTGGATCCACTTGTTTGAATATTTTTAAACATATATTGTAACGATACGGAAACGCTTACCATTCAAAACAATGGACTTTACGCAAAAACCTAGTCACTTCTCTGCTGGATTAGCTTAAGTAAAGGATAACCGCTTATTGAAGCGAAAAAACTATAACTCTCTTTCAACTGAAGTCTTCATTTCAGATTTGGCTGGGTAGTATTCGAAAAAATTGAAAAACGTACCAAAACCGAACAAAAATTCAAAAATTTGACTTTTCCTAAATTCACAAACTTTTTTCTGGTAAAGCATGGTAATAGCCTCTCTTATGCAGGGAAGATTTCTACTCGCTGATTTATAAATGAAACCCTTGATAACAGATTTAGCTAGTACTTACGAGAATAGTGCTGAAATTTCTAAAGAAAAATGTTAAAGTTTCAAAAGATGGATGTTTTCGAAGACCATATTAGCTCTTCTACTAATAAAAAGGGTGAAACAGACTGCACAGGGAAAATTAAAGCACCATATTAGTTTGAATGAGCTATCAACCCAGTATCAGCGGGTTAGTTTTTGAAAAAAAATGTTTCCAAAATATGGTCAAAAATTCAAAAATTACTCATTTTCCAAGGCCATGTATCTTTTTTCAAATCGCAGGGCATAGCCGCTTGCGCACGGAAAATTCGCATGACTGATTGCGTTTTTTTTGGTTAAACTCCTAATCTTCAATTTAGCAGGGTAATGAGAAAAGTCAAAAAATTTTTTAAAAAAATTAATTATATTTTAAAGTCAAAAATGTGCTTGTTTGAGGCCATACCGATTTTTCGGCCGAAATCAAGGAATAGCCGCTTGGGAAAGAGAGATCCCCATAATTTGTTTTTTTTAAATTTGAAATCCTCATCTCAAATTTTTGCAATTAATATTTGAGAAAATAAAAAAATTCGGAAACAATTTGGTCAAAACGCCCTCTACTGAAATATTCAAAGGCCGTAGAATGTGTAGTAAAACGAAAAAAGACAAGCGAAATATACAACATAGAAGAGTAGCCCGATTCTTCATTGTTGCGTTTTTTGAAAATAGCTACAGCAGTTTTTGGGAAAAATTGAAACTGCAAAAAAGCAAAAACTTTCGAAGCGTCCCAAAAAAAACCCTGACGTTTTCATCCTACCAATTTTTTTTTCAAACAGGACCTAACAATAGCCAAAAACAAAGCAGCAACATAGGCTTAAAAAAGATTAAAAAGAAATATACTAAAAGTGCCACCAAATAAGCATTTTTATTTGCGACTTAGGTTGGAAAAAAATTCTTAGTAACTGTGGTACTGTGTAGTACTGCTGCCACAGTAACCTTGTAAAGTTAGGTTATTATTACTTGTTATGTATTGATATTATATATTCAAGGCCAATTCTAGCAGGCCTACCTAAACGGTCACTTGACTGTTGACTTAGCTGTCAGAGAGTGAACAACTAGACCTCTGCATAAAAGACTAACAGCAATGAGTTAAACTTAAAGATGTAAATTTTTCTGTTTTCATTTACTTATCAAGGAAAAAGTATTAGTTATCACAGTAATAATACACTACGCTTCACTTGTGTAAACACATCAATTAAGTTTTCTAACACTAAATTCGCTCATTTTGCATGATTATTGAGCTCAAAAAAATTCCGCTTTGAGCCGCCAAAAAGGTCGCTTTGTGAACTATCGTTTTGTACACAAGCGTAAATATAGCCCGCCAGAAGAGTTGGGCAAGTGTGAAAAACACTTGAAAGATTTCAGTCCTTGGAAAAACTTGAATTTCTATTTAACATTTATACACATTTACATCAGGCATAAACTTGAACAAAATTAAACACATACTGAAATAAACCTTGAGTAATTGTCTCATTTCAGTTATTGAGAAGACTCATCAAGACGTTACAGTGGCTAGAGATCTGAACAGGAAGTGGCTTTGCTGTAGTTAGAGCTGAATGGGGAATTATGTGGCCTAAGCTAGTCGCAATTTTAACCGCATTCTGGCCGCCAACAGAGGTCAAAGGTCTGCTCGTGTCTATTCTTGCGCTTCCCAGGCTACTCGGATCTCGTGTGAAGGCACTTTGGACGCGCGAAGAAGGATTACGATCTGTAGTTAAGGAATTTTTGGATGACAGTCGAGCTCGCTTTTCCTCTGTTGTCACTTCATGCTGCAGTTTTTTGAGCTTTGATTTGAAATCATTTTTTTTTCATTTCCTGAAATATACGAAAGATTAAACTCTACATCTACTATTCGTCAATACTCATTCTGGGCGAAAATGAAATATGGCGTGAAACTACTAGTTAAGTTGGCTTTGACCTCGAGTAAAGACTGTTGGGAGGACATTATCCTTAAAGCAGTCAAAGAGCTCTCTCGGACAGCAAAGTTTGCATCAGAAACACTAGCTTCAATCAACCTAAAAAACATCAATAACTTCAAGCATAAATTTTCAAGCAACCATTTGAACTATCTATTCTTTTGATAATTGTATTAATTCGTCTTACAGTGAGATTGCATTGCTTTTCAGCATGTGATTGGCCAGCACTCCAGAATGACGACAGAGATTGCCCAGAGCGGCTGAAACGAATGACCAAAGTGAAAAATGATCGCACTTCAATACGTAAATATGTTGACATTATTGGTAAAGAGGAAAAACAAAAAGTAGGTTTGCCGGTATATATTCGATGTAACTGTAGCCATGTGTTTGGATAATTACCTGCTGCACTGATGCGTGTTTTGGCGAAGGTGTCCTTAAGCAGATTAACTAGATGGGGAATTGCACACGATACTAGGCCATACAGTTCCTGAGTGTGGAACACTGCGTTACCAGTCACATATACTGCACTCTACACAAAACATTGCCAATCGAAAGAGTAATGAACGCAAGTTCGAAAGAGTAATGCCGGTAAAAAATTCGGAAACAATTTGGTCAAAACGCCCTCTACTGAAATATTCAAAGGCCGTAGAATGTGTAGTAAAACGAAAAAAGACAAGCGAAATATACAACATAGAAGAGCAGCCCGATTCTTCATTGTTGCGTTTTTTGAAAATTGCTACAGCATTTTTTGGGAAAAATTGAAACTGCAAAAAAGCAAAAACTTTCGAAGCGTCCCAAAAAAAACCCTGACGTTTTCATCCTACCAATTTTTTTTTCAAACAGGACCTAACAATAGCCAAAAACAAAGCAGCAACATAGGCTTAAAAGTGATTAAAAAGAAATATACTAAAAGTGCCACCAAATAAGCATTTTTATTTGCGACCTAGGTTGGAAAAAAATTCTTAGTAACTGTGGTACTGTGTAGTACTGCTGCCACAGTAACCTTGGAAAGTTAGGTTATTATTACTTGTTATGTATTGATATTATATATTCAAGGCCAATTCTAGCAGGCCTACCTAAACGGTCACTTGACTGTTGACTTAGCTGTCAGAGAGTGAACAACTAGACCTCTGCATAAAAGACTAACAGCAATGAGTTAAACTTAAAGATGTAAATTTTTCTGTTTTCATTTACTTATCAAGGAAAAAGTATTAGTTATTACAGTAATAATACACTACGCTTCACTTGTGTAAACACCTCAATTAAGTTTTCTAACTAAATTCGCTCATTTTGCATGATTATTGAGCTCAAAAAAATTCCGCTTTGAGCCGCCAAAAAGGTCGCTTTGTGAACTATCGTTTTGTACACAAGCGTAAATATAGCCCGCCAGAAGAGTTGGGCAAGTGTGAAAAACACTTGAAAGATTTCAGTCCTTGGAAAAACTTGAATTTCTATTTAACATTTATACACATTTACATCAGGCATAAACTTGAACAAAATTAAACACATACTGAAATAAACCTAGAGTAATTGTCTCATTTCAGTTATTGAGAAGACTCATCAAGACGTTACAGTGGCTAGATATCTGAACAGGAAGTGGCTTTGCTGTAGTTGGAGCTGAATAGGGAATTATATGGCCTAAGCTAGTCGCAATTTTAACCGCATTCTGGTCGCCAACAGAGGTCAAAGGTCTGCTCGTGTCTATTCTTGCGCTTCCCAGGCTACTCGGATCTCGTGTGAAGGCACTTTGGACGCGCGAAGAAGGATTACGATCTGTAGTTAAGGAATTTTTGGATGACAGTCGAGCTCGCTTTTCCTCTGTTGTCACTTCATGCTGCAGTTTTTTGAGCTTTGATTTGAAATCATTTTTTTTCATTTCCTGAAATATACGAAAGATTAAACTCTACATCTACTATTCGTCAATACTCAAACTGGGCGAAAATGAAATATGGCGTGAAACTACTAGTTAAGTTGGCTTTTACCTCGAGTAAAGACTGTTGGGAGGACATTATCCTTAAAGCAGTCAAAGAGCTCTCTCGGACAGCAAAGTTTGCATCAGAAACACTAGCTTCAATCAACCTAAAAAGCATCAATAACTTCAAGCATAAATTTTCAAGCAACCATTTGAACTATCTATTCTTTTGATAATTGTATTAATTTGTCTTACAATGAGATTGCATTGCTTTTCAGCATGTGATTGGCCAGCACTCCAGAATGACGACAGAGATTGCCCAGAGCGGCTGAAACGAATGACCAAAGTGAAAAATGATCGCACTTCAATACGTAAAAATGTTGACATTATTGGTAAAGAGGAAAAACAAAAAGTAGGTTTGCCGGTATATATTCGATGTAACTGTAGCCATGTGTTTGGATAATTACCTGCTGCACTGATGCGTGTTTTGGCGAAGGTGTCCTTAAGCAAATTAACTAGATGGGGAATTGCACACGATACTAGGCCATACAGTTCCTGAGTGTGGAACACTGCGTTACCAGTCACATATACTGCACTCTACACAAAACATTGCCAATCGAAAGAGTAATGAACGCAAGTAAACAAAAAAAAACATTTGACTTTCTTGAAAAAATCAAATTTCAAAAAAAAGATGCCCTTCAAGCTCTTTGAAATTCTAAAACAATTTATGATTGGCGCTTTTTTGATAACATCAACCCAACTTGAGAAAACTGGATCAATAGGTAAAGTTTTATTCCGCTGGGAAATCTTTAAACTAAATTCCATATTCGAAACTAGCAATCGTTCACGTTTTTTGCGCCATTTACACGTTCGTATTTGGAGAGTGCTCTTTACGTCACTTTCAGCAGACGAGTTTCAATTGAACTAAAAAAAACCACTATAACTAAGTGCATCAAGATTTTAAGACTGTTTCCTGAAAAAAAAATTCTGCAAGACCTATATAAGAGTCTTCACTACGTTTACTCTTAAGCAGACAACAATTAGTTCAACTACAAACTTGTGCTCATAGAAGAATATTTGTGGTTATTAGTAACTAGCGCACACTTTCTAAGCGTTTGTGAAATAAAGCCGCTTCCGAATCGTTTTTAAGATGCATTTTTTTCGCATTTCTACTACAAATGGCAGAGCATATACTTTTTGGGGATCTACTTAACAATCTTCCCCTTATGTTATCTACTAAAAAGTTTCCACCCCTATCAATAAAAGCAGTAAATCAGCACTATTTAAATTTCGAACTTTGCTGCATTGATTTGGTCAAAAAACCGCTGATTTAATCTACTTATCAATCTCCATCCCTTTCTTGAAGAGGGGTGGAGATTGATAAGTAGATGCCACTCTGGAAAATCATGAAAACCCCGCTGCTTTTGGGAAATGGCTCTAGCATATAGAACAGGGTTATATGGGTTTGAAATAACAGCAATGGGTGCCTACTTTTCTGACATTTGAGTCCTCGTTCTGAAGACAGCGCACTATGCTATCCAACAGAGGAGGGTGTTTCTTCAGCACTAAAGAGAAGTCACTCTTGTACTTCATCATGTTGCCCAATAAGGCACAAGATCTGGAGGCCAAGACCACATTCAGATCATCGCGAACCATCAACTCTTTCAGTGTGTGGTAGTCGCCTAAAAAGAGTACGAGGATAGATCTCCACTGAAAAACTTCAACAAATCAACAAAAAACGTTCATGACAGAAATAGGTGTGAAAAAAGAAAAATCAAAAAGGGCAATCCCATTTTCTGTACCTTTGGGACCCTGGATGATTTTGTTTGTGAAGTCGATGTAGCTGTTTGCAGATGATCGAGTATTATGAGCCAGTATGGTCAAAATATCAGCAGAGATTTGTTCATTACTCAACACCAGTGCATTTTTCACTCCATTCCCTTCATCGGGCACATCATTGGCATCCGGGTCTGGAGTTGCATTGGAACTGGTGGTCAGACAAGCTCCCAGACAAGATTGCAAAAATAATTCCAGCTAAAAACGAAAATTTTTAAATACAGTTACCCGTCGCTAGATTATTGCGCTATTTAATTGCCCTCTTTGTTAAGTAGTTGTAACCCAAATAATTAGCTAACCAATGCACAGAAAGTGACTCGTTGATACAGTCATGATGAGTTCACTTTTTCATGGCCGCTCAACTAACCTCAGAGTTAGCTGCGATAGTGGCGACGAACTTCTCCAGAAAGAACTCATCTGTGAGCACCAGCTGAGATAGTAAGCCAACGGGTATCTCGAGATCCTCGTCGTTCAGAGTTTGAGTCATGCAGTGAATCAATGACCCAAAGAAATCATGGCTAGCCGCAATTCTAAAAAATTGGAAGTCAGATTCTAGCACTCGAATTGAAAGAGATGGATGGCTACAGACATATAAGTCATTGTCTACGTCAGTGTTTTTTTTTCGTCAAAACATAGCCAACTGACAGTTGGAAAAGAGAAATGAACGCAAGGAAACAGAAAAAAAACTTGTTTTTCAAAATCTTCAACTTTTGAAATTCAAAGAAAAACCAATAGATGGCCTTAAAGCTCTTTCAATTTGTAGAACAATTTAGTATGGACACTTTTTTTGTTAAAATTAACCCATTTTGAGAAAAATGGATCAATACGAAAAACGTTTTTTCGCTGGGAAATCTTATAAGTAATTTCCATTTTCGAAATCAGAAGTCGATCACATTTTTCGTGACCTTTACACTTTTGCTGTTCGATAGTGAGCTTTGACTTCCTTTTAACAAAAGAAATTTTTTGAGCTGAAAAAGGAATCACAAGTCAAACCGCGAACAATCAAAATTGAACCTCAAAAAAAATCACCAAGACCTACATGAGAGTACTCATTACGTTCATTACTCCAAAAAAAACAGAGAAAAAGTCACGGTCAAGGAAAAAGTGAATCCCGAAGTATTACTAGAGGACCTGAAACAAGTCTTGGAAGAGCCGCTCTCACGACTGGAGACACCGAGGGATCACGAAGATGCACAGGCAGTCACAGATAGAGAAGCTAGAGACAGATTAGCGCGAGACAGAGTCTTGCTAGAAAATGAAGAACGAAGAATAAGAGGACCTAAAGTCGGTCACAATGCCTACTATCATGAGGTGCAGAAAAGAGTGGCCTCTAGATTATTCTTAGCATTGGGTACAGAAGAAAAATATGCAAAAGAACCCACATACAGAAGTTTCAAAATTAGAATTTAGTGAAATGGTTGAATTAGCAAAGATATCATTTGAGAAAACACAGTGTCACGTATGAACGTTATAAGCTGTTCAACAGATCGCAGGAGGCAGGAGAAACATTGGAGGCATTTCATGCAGCACTAACTGCGCAGGCAGCCAGAGCGGAATTAGGGACACTCGAAAACGAATTAGGCTCGAAAAAAGTCGGACACTCGAAAACAGTCGGAGTCAACCGAGGGAACAGTACAAGAGAGGAGTAAATGACAGGAAAGATGGAAGGAATTATACAGAAATAAAACCTTGTAGTAGATGCGGTCGACCATTTGGAGAAAGCCTTTTGTAAAAATTTCCGGCCATGGGCAAGACATGTAAAACCTGTTCCAAACCGAATCACTTAGCAAAAATGTGCAGGTCACAACAAGTGAATGAGATTGCTGAAAAAACGTCCAGCTCAGATGAGGAGTGTAATTTGATCCAGTCTTTTGACTCATGCGACGAGTTTGAAATCATGTCGTTCGAACAGAACACCACATCAATCGAGGAAGTAGATGAATATATAAAGAAGCAATTGAAACAAAAAGCAGTTGTCGGGGCAGGAAGTAAAGATATACAGAAAGTCGAGATACGCAGGAGTCCCCGATCGCAACAAATAAAACCGTTAAACGCATTAGTCTGAATTGACCATTAGATCATCAACATGACCAACGACACGGGTAGCCCAGTATCGTTCTTAAATTGGACGACGGCGAAACAAATACTTGAGTCTTCAAAGAAAACGAAGTTTATCCCGCGTGAAAGTCTCAGTTTGTCAGCACAATTTGTAGACTACAATAAACAACCGATTACTATTTTGGGGGCAATCACCACAAATTTTCGTTCAGCAGGATGGGAAGTGGTAGGAGCATCAGTTCTAATCACAAAGCGACGCACACGGTGCATATTGGGACTGGACTTACAGAGAAAAGTGGGGATACATACTACTCAAAAGCTGGCATCGAAAGCTAAAACGAGGTTTGACGTGCTACTGTGCGCGCAGTCAGAAGGTTGGAAACAAAAACTTTACTTAATAAAAAAATCTTTTTGATCGTCAGGGTTGCTCGAAAAATCATAAAGTTCAAATAGCCACTCTGCCCACTCCAAGAGAAGGGGAGACGGATACCAATCCACATTCAAGAAAAGGTACATGTGGAAATGAATAAACTTTTGAAAGAAGGACATAAAGACGACTGGAAAAATGTACTAGCGACTGTTTTATAGCACCAATTGTAATCACAGTAAAAAAAAGATGATTCCATAAAACTAGCGTTGGACGCAAAACCCATAAATAGGCAATTGTTCAAAAAGAAATATCAAATGTTAACGAATTATTGGACGGGGTTAGCTAAATAGTTACAGCAAACACAAAGGGTATTTTGTAAATTGACTGCGGAAACAGCAAAACGATGCAATTTCAAAATCATAGGAGGACAGACAACTGGCACGTACTTGTTCCTTACCGGATTTTACGGACTTGCTGACATGCCAGCAGAGTTCCAAAAAGCGATGGATCGAACTATAAATCATGCGAAAAACACGTTCTGTTTTCTCGACGACATTCTTATTGTGTCGAAAGGCAGTGAACAAGAACACGAAAAATTGGTACTGAACGTTCTGGAAAAATTGGAAGAAAATTTAGCACTGAAACTCTCAAAATGCGAATTTTTTCAGACAGAGGTAAATTGGTTAGGGCATAAACTATCGCCAGAGGGTATTACACCGAAAATTACAAAAACGGTGGCGATATTGCAGCTACGGCCACCGAAATTACTAAAACAACTCAGGTTCTTTATGGGCAGCATAAAACATCGGGCAAAATTCATTCCAAATGCGGCTAGTCTAACAGAAAAACTTAAGACCCCTTTTGAGAGAAGAAAATGAGAAAAGGAAGCTTAATAGCGTCAAAATTTAAGTTTAAAAACTCGAATGGGGGGAAGAACATTCAGAAATATTTGAATCAATAAAATGGGCAGTAGCAAATATCACAAAAATACAGGACTATAATTCGGTGAAGGATGCCCGAGTAAAATGTGACGCTAATCATAGTGGACTAGGCGCAAAAAGAGCCGAAGGGGATTGGGTACCAATTGCGTTCGCGTCAAGATATTTCAACTTACAAGAAAAGAAATACTCGACAAATGAGCTAGAACTGCTAGCAGTAGTATGGTCTGTTGACCGATTTAAACACTATCTGTTAGAGAAAAAATTCGTGATAGCCACAGATCATAAAGCCCTAACTTCGAAAATAGATCAAATAAAACCTATCAATCCCGATTGACTAGATGGGTAGATAGATTACTGCCATATCAATTCAAGGTTTTTCATATACCGGGGAAAGATATGGGCATAGTTGACTATCTTTCTAGAGAACCAAATGGCGAACTGTGGCCAGAGTCGGAATTTGATGAAAAATTTGTAGTAACTTCCATACAAAATTTTCGAAAAAGCTCTCGACTGTTTGAGCAGTCGATTCAAAGATCACGACGGGCTCGGCCGGAACGAAAATATTCTAGAACAGTCTAAAATTAAACAAAATGTTTGAAAGCGAAACACGTCATCCTACGGTTGCTATGGCAACCAAAATGGACAAAAACGAACAAGGCACGACCGGAACGAAAGCGAAGCAAGTTCGCGATCGTTTCAACGAGAAAACAGAGCAAAACCAGAAATCAGTTTATCTCAGAAATGTGATTCAATACAGTCGGTTTAAAAAATTTCAAAAAATTTATAGAAAATTTGAAGATTATAAAAAACGAAAAATCAATCAGAAAAAAAACAGTGAAATGAAGTCAGGAGAAGACAGTCAGAATAGTGGAAAGGGACGGAAAACAGTAAGAAGACAAGAACGAAACAGTGGGGATACCTTGACTGAGGAAGTCACAGAGACAACATTTCAACGGAAAAGGAAATTTTAACGAATCCCTAATAAGTCAGACTCAGAAAATTCGGACTCAGACGACATTCCTCAAGTCGAATGGAGAGCAATGGATCGACATTTAGGGGCAAATAATGACAAGTGCGGACCATCAACATCAGCTGTACCAACAGGACAAGCGCTTGTTTCGTTCTGGGACCTAGTTGGAGCCGAAAGAGAGGACACTCCAAGATCCATGCTCGAACTAGAATCGAAAACATCAACGCAAAGCCCAAACGCAACAATGGAGAGTGACATAAAGGACGAAAATGGAGGAGGCAGCAAAGTAAAAGAAGTGGATCTCACAGGGGAGAGCACGGAAAACAGAGAAGTCAGCCCAGAAGTAAGTGTAGTAACACCAAAAGCAACAAGAAGGGTTGGAGGTCCAGAAAAAACGAATTTCAACTGACAGAACAGCTGCACGCTAAAAATGGACCCTTGAGCTTAACAAAGCTATTTGACAAAAGTCTACTCGCTGAACTCCTGACAGAGGACACGCTAATGGACAGGCTAAGAAGGGTAGTGAAACAAAATGACCGCCACAATTTCGAACTTATGGGACCATACACTAACCCTCTCTGGCATCAGCTGTCTTTGGTGGACGATTGTATTCTAGTCGACAATCGCCTAGAAGTGCCGGTAAAGCTAAGGCAAGCAGTTCTAGCGAGAATTCATCATGGCCATTCCGGCCAGGATATGGTACTGCAGAAGCAGTAAGCACGGAACCAAAGGATGACAAAGATACACCCAACTCGTCGACTTCAAAGAAAACCGCGGAAGGTACTAAACGAATCATTAGGCAAACAAACGAGAAACAAATTTTGGATAGGTTCCAGAATAAAGATATGACACCGGTAGAATGGGAAGAATTAGCGGAACAAGTTATGACTAGAGGTGTTCAGAAAGAAGCGCAACAAATCCTCACAGCAAAGGCGGATACGGTCGTTGAGTTTTCTCCACCAGGTTTCTCGGATAATTCGGATCAGGAGGAAAAACAAACGGTAGTGAGGCGAAGTGGTCGACAAACAAAAAATCAGGAGTGGAAGCGGTACGAAAGCGCAGTGTCACACTCAGTAAAGCTAATGTGAGGATGATATTACTGATTTGAACACGGCAGCTCTCGAAGCATACCGGACAAGATTGGCGATTTTCGAAACGGATACCGGAAAACCGACGGAATCAAAATTTGGATTATTGGAACGTCACTTATTTAAAGGAAGATTCGGTCAAGCGTCGCTGGACATGTTCAAATCATGGAATGCCGGGCGGAAATTGCCGTTGCAGTTCGAGTCAGAAAAGAAACAAAGAGAGAAGAAATGAGCGAACCAAAAAACATTAAACTCATATTGTATTTAAAATTTTATATGGTACTGTATAAAATTTTGTTGCCTTCGGGGGAATGTGGTACTGTGTAGTACTGCTGCCACGGTAACCTTGGAAAGTTAGATTATTATTTGTTATGTTTTGATATTATGTATTCAAGGCCATTCTAGCAGGCCTACCTAAACGGTCACTTGACTGTTGACTTAGCTGTTAGAGAGTGAACAACTAGAACTCTGCATAAAAGACCAACAGCAATGAGTTAAATTTAAAGATATGAATCTTTCTGTTTTCATTTAATTATCAAGGAAAAAGTATTAGTTATCACAGTAATAATACACTACGCTTCACTTGTGTAAACACATCAATTAAGTTTTCTAACACTAAATTCGCTCATTTTGCATGATTATTGAGCTCAAAAAAATTCCGCTTTGAGCCGCCAAAAAGGTCGCTTTGTGAACTATCGTTTTGTAAACAAGCGTAAATATAGCCCGCCAGAAGAGTTGGGCAAGTGTGAAAAACACTTGAAAGATTTCAGTCCTTGGAAAAACTTGAATTTCTATTTAACATTTATACACATTTACATCAGGCATAAACTTGAACAAAATTAAACACATACTGAAATAAACCTAGAGTAATTGTCTCATTTCAGTTATTGAGAAGACTCATCAAGACGTTACAGTGGCTAGAGATCTGAACAGGAAGTGGCTTTGCTGTAGTTGGAGCTGAATGGGGAATTATATGGCCTAAGCTAGTCGCAATTTTAACCGCATTCTGGCCGCCAACAGAGGTCAAAGGTCTGCTCGTGTCTATTCTTGCGCTTCCCAGGCTACTCGGATCTCGCGTGAAGGCACTTTGGACGCGCGAAGAAGCATTACGATCTGTAGTTAAGGAATTTTTGGATGACAGTCGAGCTCGCTTTTCCTCTGTTGTCACTTCATGCTGCAGTTTTTTGAGCTTTGATTTGAAATCATTTTTTTTCATTTCCTGAAATATACGAAAGATTAAACTCTGCATCTACTATTCGTCAATACTCATTCGGGGCGAAAATGAAATATGGCGTGAAACTACTAGTTAAGTTGGCTTTTACCTCGAGTAAAGACTGTTGGGAGGACATTATCCTTAAAGCAGTCAAAGAGCTCTCTCGGACAGCAAAGTTTGCATCAGAAACACTAGCTTCAATCAACCTAAAAAGCATCAATAACTTCAAGCATAAATTTTCAAGCAACCATTTGAACTATCTATTCTTTTGATAATTGTATTAATTCGTCTTACAGTGAGATTGCATTGCTTTTCAGCATGTGATTGGCCAGCACTCCAGAATGACGACAGAGATTGCCCAGAGCGGCTGAAACGAATGACCAAAGTGAAAAATGATCGCACTTCAATACGTAAATATGTTGACATTATTGGTAAAGAGGAAAAACAAAAAGTAGGTTTGCCGGTATATATTCGATGTAACTGTAGCCATGTGTTTGGATAATTACCTGCTGCACTGATGCGTGTTTTGGCGAAGGTGTCCTTAAGCAGATTAACTAGATGGGGAATTGCACACGATACTAGGCCATACAGTTCCTGAGTGTGGAACACTGCGTTACCAGTCACATATACTGCACTCTACACAAAACATTGCCAATCGAAAGAGTAATGAACGCAAGTAAACAAAAAAAAAACATTTGACTTTCTTGAAAAAATCAAATTTCAAAAAAAAGATGCCCTTCAAGCTCTTTGAAATTCTAAAACAATTTATGATTGGCGCTTTTTTGATAACATCAACCCAACTTGAGAAAACTGGATAATAGGTAAAGTTTTATTCCGCTGGGAAATCTTTAAACTAAATTCCATATTCGAAACTAGCAATCGTTCACGTTTTTTGCGCCATTTACACGTTCGTATTTGGAGAGTGCTCTTTACGTCACTTTCAGCAGACGAGTTTCAATTGAACTAAAAAAAACCACTATAACTAAGTGCATCAAGATTTTAAGACTGTTTCCTGAAAAAAAAATTCTGCAAGACCTATATAAGAGTCTTCACTACGTTTACTCTTAAGCAGACAACAATTAGTTCAACTACAAACTTGTGCTCATAGAAGAATATTTGTGGTTATTAGTAACTAGCGCACACTTTCTAAGCGTTTGTGAAATAAAGCCGCTTCCGAATCGTTTTTAAGATGCATTTTTTTCGCATTTCTACTACAAATGGCAGAGCATATACTTTTTGGGGATCTACTTAACAATCTTCCCCTTATGTTATCTACTAAAAAGTTTCCACCCCTATCAATAAAAGCAGTAAATCAGCACTATTTAAATTTCGAACTTTGCTGCATTGATTTGGTCAAAAAATCGCTGATTTAATCTACTTATCAATCTCCATCCCTTTCTTGAAGAGGGGTGGAGATTGATAAGTAGATGCCACTCTGGAAAATCATGAAAACCCCGCTGCTTTTGGGAAATGGCTCTAGCATATAGAACAGGGTTATATGGGTTTGAAATAACAGCAATGGGTGCCTACTTTTCTGACATTTGAGTCCTCGTTCTGAAGACAGCGCACTATGCTATCCAACAGAGGAGGGTGTTTCTTCAGCACTAAAGAGAAGTCACTCTTGTACTTCATCATGTTGCCCAATAAGGCACAAGATCTGGAGGCCAAGACCACATTCAGATCATCGCGAACCATCAACTCTTTCAGTGTGTGGTAGTCGCCTAAAAAGAGTACGAGGATAGATCTCCACTGAAAAACTTCAACAAATCAACAAAAAACGTTCATGACAGAAATAGGTGTGAAAAAAGAAAAATCAAAAAGGGCAATCCCATTTTCTGTACCTTTGGGACCCTGGATGATTTTGTTTGTGAACTCGATGTAGCTGTTTGCAGATGATCGAGTAGTATGAGCCAGTATGGCCAAAATATCAGCAGAGACTTGTTCATTACTCGACACCAGTGCATTTTTCACTCCATTCCCTTCATGGGGCACATCATTGGCATCCGGGTCTGGAGTTGCATTGGAACTGGTGGTCAGACAAGCTCCCAGACAAGATTGCAAAAATAATTCCAGCTAAAAACGAAAGTTTTTAAATACAGTTACCCGTCGCTAGATTATTGCGCTATTTAATTGCCCTCTTTGTTAAGTAGTTGTAACCCAAATAATTAGCTAACCAATGCACAGAAAGTCACTCGTTGATACAGTCATGATGTGTTCACTTTTTCATGGCCGCTCAACTAACCTCAGAGTTAGCTGCGAAAGTGGCGACGAACTTCTCCAGAAAGAACTCATCTGTGAGCACCAGCTGAGATAGTAAGCCAACGGGTATCTCGAGATCCTCGTCATTCAGAGTTTGAGTCATGCAGTGAATCAATGACCCAAAGAAATCATGGCTAGCCGCAATTCTAAAAAATTGAAAATCAGATTCTAGCACTCGAATTGAAAGGGATGGATGGCTACAGACATATAAGTCATTGTCTACGTCAGTGTTTTTTTTTCGTCAAAACATAGCCAACTGACAGTTGGAAAAGAGAAATGAACGCAAGGAAACAGAAAAAAAACTTGTTTTTCAAAATCTTCAACTTTTGAAATTCAAAGAAAAACCAATAGATGGCCTTAAAGCTCTTTCAATTTGTAGAACAATTTAGTATGGACACTTTTTTTGTTAAAATTAACCCATTTTGAGAAAAATGGATCAATACGAAAAACGTTTATTTCGCTGGGAAATCTTATAAGTAATTTCCATTTTCGAAATCAGAAGTCGATCACATTTTTCGTGACCTTTACACTTTTGCTGTTCGATAGTGAGCTTTGACTTCCTTTTAACAAAAGAAATTTTTTGAGCTGAAAAAGGAATCACAAGTCAAACCGCGAACAATCAAAATTGAACCTCAAAAAAAAATCACCAAGACCTACATGAGAGTACTCATTACGTTCATTACTCTAAAAAAACAGAGAAAAAGTGTAAATTGATTTTAAAGGTTTTTCTTCGCTTTTCATTTTCTTCAAATGATTGCAGTCGAAACATTTTAAAATGCTTGCACAGTAAACGGCTTTTCTTGCTTGTTTATGAATCATGCCTAACACGTCTTGCGATTCACCCAAACTTGAGATTAAACCAAGACATCAAAATGGGAGTCATATGAAACAGCCGAGGTATAAACCAGTTATCACTAAAAGCAACCGAAAATACGTAATTGTTATATAATAGCTGTATCAATTATGAACACAGAGGCGAAGCTGCGCTTCGCAAACACTAGCGATAACGCGACAAAAAGCAGCTCTGTAATACGAAAGCAGCTCAATACGAAAAAAAACAAATAGGCCTCGAATACTACCCACTCAGCCCCGAACGCTTTATAAATCACAAATAAAACAGATAACATATGCTATGAAATTTCCAATGTTAGAAATTTTGATTATAGAAAAAGTGCCACGAAACAAATTATCTTTTTTTTGCAAGTTAGGTTTAAAAAAAAGAAGGTTCGTACTAATAAACTAACGCTCGCAAGTGCCCTAGTGTAAACAGTTACGATAGCCATGCAAATTTATTCATATGGCGTAATTTTCGGCTGATTTATATGATCTGCGCATTTTCGGTTGGTTGATACTTGGGCTGGTTTATTTCCACTCGTCAAATGATAGCTGTCAAGTGTTCGTTATAGCTTTGTGCTGTATCTAATATAACAATTGCGACATCTAACTATATGGTTATGGCCTGAACTCACGCGCACACTTGTGTCAACACATGGTCATTGTGGACAGCAAATGGGAGACAGAACAGTTGCAGAATATCCACACTCATCTTGTGGGCCACATGTGCCACTGGAAACACAGCTGTAGACAGGGACAGATTGGCCTGCTGTTCTGTGTCTTGGGAGGAGAAGGTGCTGCAGTGGAGGTACTCGAAGAAGGGCTTAGAGATGAGGGAGAACAGACACTGGACTAGAACGTTATCCTCGTCCGCAAACATCGAGGCACACTCGAATGGCTCCTCAAATCCAAAATGATATTTAGTTTACCAAAATCAATTTTGCAAACAAGGAGTCCTTCCTATTTTCGTGCCATTTCCACTCTTTAAATTGGAGAGCATTATTTGCCTTCCGTAAGCAAATGAAAATGAATTGAACTTGTATAGAAAACATGGCCCACATACGGTTAGAAAAGAGTCAATGAACACAAGTAAACAGAAAAAAAAGACCTAGTTCAAAAAAAGTAGGTCAAACTTTCGAAATTTTGTTTAAAAATAGATGCCCTTAAAGCTCTTTGAAAATCTAGGACAAATTATGATTAAGACTTTATTGATTAAATCAATCCAATTTGAGAAAACTGGATCAATAAGTAAACTTTTTTCCGCTGGTTATTCCGACCACGTTTTTTATGACCTTTACACTTTTGCTGTTCGATAGTGGAGTTTTATTTAAAGAATTGAAATGAACTAAAAACAGAAATCAAAAGTCAAACCGCAAAAAAATTAAATTTTAGCGTGAAAAAAATTTTCCTGAAAAAAAAAATTACAAAGACCTAAGTGAGAGTACGTTCATGACGCAATATAAGATGGGTGAATAATTTATAAAAAGTTGAAAAATCGATTTCAGAAAGATTGATAATAGATGTTCTAAAATCCTGAACAATCACACTTAGACCCTGAAACGCCTGAAAACAGGCTTATTTTAGTCTTATGGCGCTCTTTCAAGTGATCTTTTTGTGGAAGAATTCTTCATTTGTAAATCTGTTCTTGCAATGATTTCACTTGGAAACAATTTATTACAATTATTACACTGAGGATCAGTGATGTCCGTTAAAAAACCAATTAAAATCATTTAAATGTCAAAATATGAGTCCACGCAACTTAAATGAAACATTTCAATTTAAATACAACAATTTAACTTGAAAACAATTTAAATTACGGGACCAGCGGGGTTCGAACCGACCCCAAGGTACTGGCATAACAAATGCAAAATTGAGTCAAAGCTCTATCCAACTGCTCCAACTGGACCTATCTGACACCGAGTCTTATTGACATGTACTCATTTGAATAGAAGTCAAAATTACGGAGTAATTTTGCTCAATACGCCAAATTGCACGCTTGCTGATGTTTTCACACCCATTTCTTCGTAAAAAAAAGCCTTTGAATAAGTTGTTACTGTGCTTTCAAGAAAGATATGATAAATAGCCAGACAGATTTCTCAGAAACAAACAAAGTTAAAACCTGTATTTCAATGGAGGGAGTCGGAAAAATCTTTTTTTTCCCACCAAATGCGACAAAAAGTTATCAGGGCTGAAAAATCAAACTTTGTCAGTAATTCTGAAGATCATTTGCGACGTACAGACCCAAAACAATTAAAGATCGGCCATAGATTCACTGCAATTACTCCCCGGGAAGAAAAACCGAAGAGTTTGGCGATTGGAAGACTATATTTGGCCGATTGGAAGACTATAGATAAAAAACTTGTTGACTTAGCTCAACAGAGATTGTCGAATATTCAAAATTACTGCGATTACTACGGGAACAAAGTTGATCATTGGACCAGCCGGCGCGGTGAGACTATTTTAGTTGTCCTCATTTATTGGAGATCGAAGTTGGAAAAAACACACACAATGTGTCGATTTTAAACTAATTTCGCGAACTGCAAAAGTAACAGTTAAAGTAAATTTGAATTCGTTAACGGATATTGGATTCAAAAAAGAAAAAAGTATTAGATTTCAGAGTGAAAACTGTAACGATATGATTGCAGCTGGTAGACTGTTTTCCGCAGCTGTTTTTGAGGACAAATAGAGTGACCATGAGAAGTACGAGGAAATTTTTGTTGAAAACGATATGGAAATCGACATTTTTGCAACAAAAAAAATTGTTTGTTGGATGTCGAGCTCACGGGTTAAATAACTCAATGCAAGACAGCGTGCAGAAAAAAAATTCAAGACAAATTAACGAAAATTGTTGTTCAAATTCAGGGCCCAATCTTTCCAAGACACGATGGTATAGTCACTTGCGACAGTTTCACTACAAAAATCATCATAGCTAGAAAAAGAATGGGAATAAAAACTCATGCTTGTGCATATTTGGGCAATTTGGTACTTCGAAATTTAGAAAAGATTCGGAAAAAAATATTTTTTCACTTAGGAGAGTTTTTTGAAACTGAAAGTCTGACCAATTTGTACAGAGGCGAAGTTGCATTTCGCATACACAACCAAAAATATGACCGATAACGCTATTGGGAAAAACTGAATGAAAAAAACTTTGAGTCTACAAAATATCTTAAGTGACACTTAGCAACTCTGTGCGACGCAAGCCATTTATGACTCATCAGCAGCACCAGTCAATTTGAAAGAAAAAATTATCAACTAACAAGCCTCATATTATAGAGCGGGCGCATTTTAACTAGTATAGGAAAAAGATCATTAAAAACATCAGACCATGACCAGGTTCGAATCCTGCTACTTTGTTAAGGGTCTCCTTCCTTACCTCTACGCTACAGATCCATGATAGTTGAAGCTAAAGTGCTATTTGTAATGTAAGAAGCTGTGCTGCTATCCTTAGCACTGGGTGTTCTTAAAAGCTGGTTATTGATCAAACTGAACAATTCCAAAATGAACACATTTTGTCGCAACAATATTTGCGTCGCAACAATATTCGCAATTTAGGTTGAAAAAAAGAGATCATCACAAGTCAGAAAACTTCTAACATTTTTGGGCGCGTTTGCTCCAAGTGACGCAATCCAATTATGAAGCATTAGCAGTACCAGTCAATTTGAAAAAAAACTACCAACTAACTTGCCTCAATTTATAGAGTGGGCGCATTTTAACTAGTAAACGAGAAAACTTCTTAAAAATATCCGACCCTGCTACGTTCGAACCCTCTTTTTGTTGCGGGTCTCCTTTCTTACCTCTACGCTACAGAACCATGATACCTGAAGCCAAAGTGCTACTTGTAATATAATAGTGTGCGAAAATCATCAGCACTGGGTGTACTTGATAGCTGGTTATTGATCAAAATGAACCCTTCCAAAATGAACCCATTTTGTCGCAACAATCTTTGCGTCACAACAATACTCGCGAATTAGATTGAAAAAAAAGAGAGCTCAACACCAGTCAAAAAACTTTTGAAAGTTTTGGGCGCGGTTGCTGATAATGAAAACGTCGATGGCATATCACAGATTTGCAGTGCAACTGGCCGCGCATATGCATAATGATCGACGTTTTCGAAAACTTCCGGATATAATTCTTTCAGCTATTCTCTTTAACCCGGACAGACGATCTCGCGCTTACTTACAAATCGAGGAAACTGAAAAAGTGCAAAAATTTATACAGAATTTAGAATTCGAGTTTTAGAAAATGTTATTGACACTTCGAATGCGCCAATTGAAACCTCTGATGCGAGTAAACTGAACCCGATGGCAGTTTATTTGAATTCATAAATTTGACATTTCAGGATACATCAGGAAAAGCAAACAAATTGAGTCTTGGCGACGAAATCGATAAATTATTGTTGAAGACATATTCGACCGAAAAAACTGCTTTCAATTTCTTCTCTCAAAATTGCGAAAAGTACCCAAAATTGGTAGAAATTCTGAGAACTATACTGGGTTTAATACCATCTCAATTGATATAAATTGCATGAGAATATTTAATTAGTTTCCGAAGATTTTTATAGATGTCAACAAATTAGAAAAAAAAAATTCCACTTAGGAGAGTTCTTTGAAACTAAGTCTGACTGTAGACCAAATTGTACACAGAGGCGAAGTTGCACTTCTCAAACACAAGCAAAAAAAAATGACCGATAACGCTATTGGGAAAAACTTCATGAGCAAAACGTTGAGTCTAGAAAATTTCTTAAGTACCGCACACCAATTATGAGTCTACAGAGTTGCCAAGTGACGCAATCCAATTATAAAGCATTAGCAGTACCAGTCAATTTGAAAAATAATTACCAATTAACCTGCCTCAATTTTTAGAGTGGGCTCATTTTTACTAGTATACGAGAAAATTCATAAAAACATCCGACCCTGCCCACTTTCGAGCACATGAGCAGCCGTGGTCGAGTGAGAGCAGCCGTGGTTGAGCGGTTCAGGCACCTGTCTCTCAACACGAGGGTCATGCATTCGAATCCCGCTTCGGTCACAGCTGGAGGGGTCCCAGTGTCATCCTCCTCCTCAAGGTGGGACCGGCTGCGGCAAAATGGATGTCATCTCCCTCTCCCCCACGGTTGGTCCTGCACTGAGCGGGCCGGGGGCTAATAAAAAAACTTTCGAACACTCTTTTTGTTGCGGGTCTCCTTCCTTACCTCTTCGCTACAGATCCACAAAACTTGAACTTAAAGTGCTACATGTCATATAATATTGTGTTGAAATCCTCAGCAATGGGTGTACTTAATAGCTGGTTAATGATCAAAATGAGCCCTTTCAAAATGATCCCTTCCATTTTGTCGCAACAATATTTGCGTCACAACAAAACTCGCGATTTAGATTGAAAGAAGAGAGCTCATCACAAGTCAAAAAACTTTTGGAAGTTTTGGGCGCGGTTGCTGATATTGAAAACGTCGATGGCATATCACAGATTTGCAGTACAACTGGCCGCGCATATGCATAATGATCGACGTTTTCGAAAACTTCCGGATATAATTCTTTCAGTTATTCTCTTCAACCCGGACAGACGACCTCGCGCTTGCTTACGAATCGAGGAAACTGAAAATGCGCGATAAATTATACAAAATTTAGAATTCGAGTTTTAGAAAGGTTATTTACACTTCCAATACGACAATTGAAAACTCTGATGCAAGTACTATGAACCCGATTGACAGTTTAATTGAATCAATAAATTTCACATTTCAGTAGACCTCAGGAAAAGCAAAAAAACTGAGTCTTGACGACGAATTCGATATATTTTTGTTTGAAATAGATTCGCCTGAAAAAATTTGCTTTCAATTCATTTCTCAAAATCACAAAAAGTACCCAAAAGTGGCAGAAATTATGAGAGTTATACTGGGTTTTAGAT